ATATATATTATCACTGTTTCACATGCAATGAACCATCCCTCACAGACATCACGAGTAAAGCAGATGGGGATTTCTGCCCTTCCCTACTGACTTGTGATTCTTCTAATCGGGGTCATTCTGCTTTTCAAAATAGGGTATCACAAACACCTATTGTGCTGTCTCCAGTGTGTCGTTCCTCAGGACTCCCTAATGCTTATGTACCACCTTTTCTCTTCTAGTGGAGTATGGGAGTCCTTGCCACATCTGGTTCCCAGTTGCTGGAGTGGTGGACCGAAAAGGTTTCCTCCTGAGTGGATTTTGTTTAACAAACAAAGTCAGATGCTATATATCATGCATACCCACTTGGTATGAAAAGGGCTGTTGTCATTATACTCATTACTGAACAGTGATTATACAATACCATAATATTCTACATCCAATGTGCTTCCCTCAGATATTTTTGCCCAGGCAGACCATACTTGATGATAAAAAATTCTTTATGCAAGGTGCTTTCACTGCATGTTTTCTGCCCAGTTGGGCTGCACTTGGCATTGTCAAACATACTCCAAGGTGCGTCCCCTGGATGTTTGTTGCCTGGGCGGTCCACACTTGGTTTTATAATATGTATCCAAGGTGCTTCCCCCTGGATGTTGCCTGGGCAAACTGCACTTGATGGTAAAAAATTCCTTATGCAAGGTGCTTTCACTGCATATTTTTTGCCCAGGCAGACTGCACCTGGTTTTACCATATGTATCCAAGGCGCTTCTCCCTGGATGGACTATACTTGGCGTAATCCAAGGTCCTTTACCTGGATATTTTTTGTGCCAGGCAGACCATTCTTGGCCAAATTATTGAATATTATGTATCCAAGGCATTTCCCTGAATGTTTGCCTGGGCAGACCACACTTGTTGATCTCACAAGCTTATGCAAGGCACTTCCACTGGATGTTTTTGCCCAGGTGGACCGCACTTGGCCTATTCATATACAATTCATGGTCCTGCAGCCCTAGTCAAATTTGTTATTTTGTTATCTCTGGTACCATACTATGGCTTACTAACACTATGTTCGGTACCACAGCCTGCTACATATGTGGACAAAGTATGACATGTCTGTTAACAATGGGCTGGTTATGAAAACCTTCAAGATCACACTCATGTCTCTAATTTTTGTCTTCATCCTATGTATCCAAGGTGCTTCCCCTGGATATCTTTTTCTTCGAAGGACCACACTTGTTGATCTCAATATCTTTCAGAGTGGTCACTTTCTGCTTGATTGGATATTGATGAGCTTTCACTGGCCCCCTCCAACTTTGAAATGTGGGATTCTAGTTTTGGGTGAGGAGGATAAGATTGCTTCGTAAGTTAACATTTTCTTACACTGAAAATGTATTTCCAATAGGTATCTACCTCCACTTCCCACCCTTCCTTCCCACTGATATGCTGGTGTTTCTGGTTTGTAGCTGCCAATTCTTGAAAGTGAGGATTACTCTCAAATAATAGAGGGAGCTATCTGTGCTAGTATAGAGAGTGCAGTTATGATTGATAGAGGGTAGTTACATGGTCAGCACGTTCTGAAATGATGTAAAACTGATGAGGTATAAAAGACTGGTGCACTGTTAGCAAAAAATTTTTGCAATGCTTATATGGCAGTCCAGGATCGAGATAGCTTTGGGTGAGAAAGGTAAGTACCTATCAGAAAGACAGTTTCAGTGTAAGAGAATGTTAACTTCTCTTTCTTTCTTCAAGAATAAGTAAACATGGTAAAATGATTTTTATTAAGCATTTTTTCTGAAAAAAATGAAGGTGGGTCGATTTTTTTTTAGCCCAGGCCTGGATCTACAGTCATAATAGCTTTCTCCTTAATCCATCCCTGCTTTTGAGCTTACCTGAATTTTTCATTGGGCCCATTGGGCTTAGACTCCATATTATAAGTAAGCCAAGAAAACAAATTAAACTGTGTTTTTTGTTCATATTCTTGCATGAGAGTCTTTACTTTATGCCTTCACCAAAAGATGTTTTTATTTGAGTTTTATATTTTAACTGAGTTTGGCAATAATTAATTTGCAGAAATTAAAAAAAAATATAATATTTACAGTTTCACAGATTTTGTAACATGGCCATTATTGTGATAGTACAGTCAAACAAAACTTGCAAGATTCTGCACACTTGCATGCATTTTATTCAAATCACCAATATTACATTTTTTAAAGAAATAGAAAGAAGAGAAATAAAGGTAATACTAGTTTCAGAGAAAAATAGATTTATTTATGCATTATAATATGGTTTGGAAATGCCTTATACTGTGTCTCAACCTCCCCGAATATGACTTGTGATTCTTAATGTGCCTTGGTTGAAATTTTGTTCCCTAAGGATAAGTAGTTTGTTTATGTATATGTACATACACATATATCATTACTATAGTCTTGTATATCACTCATCGAAAATAATTCTTAACGTGGTTTCCTACCTGAAAATTTTCTGAATATTGCCTGTTATCTCTGTGCATTTCAGTAATTTAAGTTTTACAGAATGTAATTCCTCCACCACTGCACATATCTAACCAGACAGTTAAATATAATATACTTTTATTACTAAGTGCCAAAGATTTAAACAATTTTATTGAATTATTGGGAAATTTAAATACTTGTAACCAGACGATTAAATTTTTATTAAATGGTATATGTAATCTTTGTTGAAGATTGTGAATAGCAGCCCTTTCACACTGAAACTTTTCTTTTTCAACAAATTAATGTCATTTGTTATGGTATTTAATACCTTATGCTCAATACTGTACCAGTCATTTATAAGATATCAATTATTATAGTATATAATGTCTTTTTTTTTTTCTACAAATATTTCTTTAATGGCCCTAAACACGTTGCTATTAAAAAAGACTATAATAGAATATTGGCCAAACTCTGGTGTAAGGTGAATGTGAGATGTCATAATCATTTGTATTTTATGCAGACTGATATAAATAGATTTTCATCCATGACTGTGTGTTGCATGTCCACCCAACCTGATGAGCTTTGGTACTGAGTGATAGGCCTCTCAACGGTAGTATCCAGCATACAGGATTTGAAATCAGGATGTTATATTCTTCTTACAGGAAACATGTAGAGACAGTAAAGAAAGATTTGTTCAAAATTATCATCATAATAAAAACATTACATTATTTCATACATATGAAAGCTTAGTTATTTTAAATTATGGAGACAAACTTACTTACCATGATTTTATGTCAGCCCTCTAACATGTCTTTATTTCAGGGATAGCAAGCTAACCCAGTTACTAAGAGAAGCTATGAGTAGCTTGACCTGTAGAGCAGCCATGGTTGCTCATGTCTCTAAATCTCCAGAACAATATGCTGAAACTTTGTCCACAATTCAACTGGCCAGTAGAATTCACAGAATGAGGAGAAAGAAGCTCAAGGTAATGTTACCTGTTTATTTCATTACTCAGTTTTAAGCATTTTAGAATGATAAATTGAAATTCCGCTGTATAAGAACTGTCACTGGATTATTTGGTTTTCTTACCTTCTGTATTAGTGAAACTGCAGTTTTGAAGTCTTATCATTACCTTGTTTCTTTCATAACAGTAGTTTGTTTGCTAAGCTACTTATCACTTTCAGCTAAAGAGTTCACTATGTAGAATATACAAAATTAACTAGTTCCAATACATCCAGACCTCCATCACACATTTATAGCAATTACTCTATTGCCAGGGTTTCTTCCTTTGCCCATCTAAGCATTGGTCTGATTTTTTTCTCGCTTGCTCCAGTTTTTTATACCCTACTTAATTGCCATTGGCAATATTTGTCTCATGACTCTCCACCTGTGTCAATGCACCTTTTATCCTGGTACTGTATATAAGCACCTTATTCAAATAATGTTATCACTTTTTTTGACAAAGCGTCAGTAATGTGTTCCCAGTATTATGATCGTTAGGAGATACTTTGACCATTATCAGTGTTATCTAGTTGATTTTCGTAATAGTATTTTATAATATATATTTTATTCCGATCACAAGCTGATTTATGGTTTATTACTTCCAGTACGAAGTCAATCTCCTCTGGTATCTAGCATCCCACAGCAATTTGGGGGGGGGGGTCACTCTCAGTGATCTAATTTGTAGTGAGATGGAGACGTATATTCATATCTGTGGTGGTGCTCTGAGGCCGAAATTTATGGGGGCAATCCATTGACATTCTGAAGAGAATTTATATGTGGTAGATGGCCAAACATTGCTTTGCTCTAACAAAACAAATTTACCTCACTAAAGGTTGTTCCAATTATAGGTAATCAACACAGTCTTTAAAAGAAAAAGAAAAAAAAAGGCCACTTTGAGATAATCTGCTTTTGATTTATTTTCTTCGCGAGTATGATGTTTTGGGCTTTTTTCCCAGTGGCTTTAGAATCTGCTCCTTACTTAATGACTGAAAGGTCTGGGAGTGAATGTTTAGCTTTTCTCTCCATGGATATTGTGGTTCATGCTGTAAGACTTGTATCTTAGTGATATGAAGACACAGTTAGGCCCTATCCAACATTGTCAGAACTTCATGATTTTATCATACCACTGCCAGGTGGAAGCATTTTTCGACTCTCAAATAATACATCTGCTCCTCGAATTTTGTGGTTCTGAAAAGGAGTTTGTAGTTACCCTGAGTAGATCTATATCCCCTGATAAAACAGGGTAAGTCTATGGTCTTCCAACTCTAAAATCCACCATTTTGTCTTCCTTTTGCTTAATTTTGTTGGAAGACTCTCAGGATCAACTACTTCATTGATGACAAGCTGGATCCCTTGTTAGCATGCCTGTTGGTTCAGTTTTTGGTTTCTACATATCTCCATGTTGTCCTTGGAGTCTCGAATTTCATTGGCTCCTACAGATGGTCATAGTTCCACCCCTATTCATGGGTCCCAACCCCCAGCATCAGCCTCTTGGTTCATTAGTACCCATAATAGATTCTATTTAGTTCCCAGGTTTTCTGCTGCACGGTAAGATCGCCAATGACGTTGGTTATTATTGTATACCTTCAGAGTCTGTGGGCTTGGCTCTGAGAATTTCTGGACATGTGGTTACCTTAACCTTGGATCCAGGAGCACTGTATGTTCTTGAGTCAGGATTCGTCATTCAGTTCATATCTTCACCTCTATTATCCACCCAAACTGTTTCTTTTGCAGATCATCTGGATTTGGGACTTAGTTCTAGGGCTATCAGAGTTTGGTTGGTTTGGGAGTAGTGAGTGAGTTGTGCTAGTTCTTCTGAGGTTTTATTCCTGTTAGTTATTGGGCCTATGCAGATAGGAGATTGGGGTCCAGTCATCAATCTTTCTTCACTATATCCATGCCTAGATTCTCGAAGGTTCACAAGTTATTCACTGATCTGAGTTGACATTTCTTTTACTGGGATTGTAGATGTCCACGTTTGCTGAAGTCAGCTCCTATCTGCACATTGCCACCACTATCAATGTTTCTTGTGCACAATGGTTAGGTTCTGCTGTTCCAGGTTTTCACCTTCTGACTCGCATCAAATATAATATGATTGATAAACCTAATATTTCAAATTTAGTTATGTAGGTAAGCAGTCCTAAACTATATAAATACCACATATTTTATGTCTGATTCTATAGTCAAACAAAAAATTGACATACATCACATTGAAACAAGAAAGACTCAACAATCACTTTCTTATTTATCCAAACTGAAAATAAAAATATTCAACTTGGGTTCTGCCATATTGTACGAATTTTCTCATTACTTCCATTCCATCACACTGTGCACACATCATTCCATTCTGCTGGAACTATCTCATCAATTGTCAGAACATCACATCCTGATTCTACTTTCAGAAACGACCAAGGCAGGCTTCATTTTCAGAGCTGAGGCATCTATCCTTGCTCCAATTCCATATGTCATCAGTTTGGGTAATTTTTATTTTTCATCTCATCTCAGGTGACTCCCGTCTGGCTCAATGCTATGGAATAAGATGTCAGACTCTTACTCACCTCTCTTTCTTCCACGGCACTGATGGTTCTTTCTCTTCTAAGAATGTAGGTATCACTTGAATCCCTTATGTCTTTGAGATAAGCACAAGTGATCCTTTTAATGGTCTTTATGTGACCAAGTGCTCATAAATGCCAATTTATTGGTTTACCCAGTTTCCTTAGTCGGGACCACTCTTTGATCTTGAGGAGTTGTTAAGTCAGAACACTACCACGAAATGAGTTCCTTTACTGCCACCTTGTCCAGAGTTACATCCTTTCACGAATGTCTTGCTTCACTGATGGGGTGCATATACCAACAGTCAGGAATTCCAGGGTCTATGCACAGACAAAGAGACTTTTCTTCTGGGCTCTCTTTGAAGATGAGTATTCTTCTGCAAGTCGCATCTAGTCAGGTTTGTCACATTTTTATGTCCTTAGCAGCCCTGTCAAATTGCCTGCTGGAGGTCATTGTGCTGACTGGTATGTGGACCCCCTCCAATACTTTTATCTCACATTATTTGCCTGATCAGGCAGTCTATTCATCTGAGGGTTTTTGTCTACCCCCTGTAGCTATCTGAACCATTTCAGGTAGATTATACAAAGGGATAGGTCTTTTTATTGCAACATTTCAGGGTTCTTTAACTTGTTTTCACAGAGATCCCACAGTGGGATCTCTGTGGTGAGTGTTTCCCAGGCAAGTGTTCTTTTATCAAACCAATTCCACACTAGCAACCACTAATTGAATGTAC